CTGACGCTCCGCTCCCGGGAAACCCTACCCCGCGGTCAGCCTTGGCCGCTTGGCCTGCCCGGGACGGGGAAGCCTGCGCCAGCCCCCTGTTTCCGCAGCCCCGCGTGAATGAATCCTTCCACGCTCACTGATCCTCTCCCAGGGCCCGCAGGCCACTCAGGACAGCCGCCCGCCAGCCAGAGCCGTGCCCGCAGCCACCTCGACGAATTCCCATTCGGAGCTCGGCATGCCGCAGGCCTTCCCTGTCCTGTGGAAGGATTCCCTGCCTTCGAGCCGCGTTTACTGTGGGATCCCTGAAAGGTTTTCCTAAGCTCTCAGTCCAGAACGTGTAATTGCCCTTAAGAATGAGTCTGCAAAAACACTTACAATACTATATGGTGTAAAGAGAAAGTGGCAGATAGCAGCACCGCGGTCAGAACCATTGTTTTCCAACATCTGCCGGGAGGCTTTTGCTTTAGACTGGAGGGAGAGTCAGGAAATCGGAGCGGCCCGGCTGTGCCCAGCAGGTTGAGTCAGAGCTGCTGTGGGCGGGGCGGGGCGTGGGAGGGCGCCTTGCAGACCCCAGCTGGCTGCTGCCTTTACCAGTCAGCCAGGGCAGCAGGTAACTTAGGTTCAGTCTTCCCAGTGTGCCCGGCTGTGTGCCAAGGCTGCCACTGCCGGGGATGCCTGGTCTGGAAGCTTAAGGTGCAGAGCGCAGGAAACATCAGGAGAGCCAGGGGATCCTGAGCACGGTGTGTGTCGCCGGAGTGGTGGGGCAGCTGGGCTGCCCAAGCCTCCCTGGGGCTCTTGCAGTCCGAGAGTCCGAGCTTCACCGAAACCGCCAACCGCTGTACCAAGCTCCTGTCCGGTTTTGGCAAGAACGACCCCCCCGGGGGGGGGACACTCTAGTCCCACACTCTGTTGGGTGGTGGGCCTCGGGACCCTCAAGGAAACTTGCCCCTGTTTTGCGTGAGTCCCTCAGGGTCCCCCGGCCCAGTCTCAGGTGTCAACTCCTGCGAAGACAGCTTGTCTTTGTGTGGCTCTATTAGAAAATTCTCCTTGCTCTGAGCTTCCCCACGCCTCTGCCATCATGCGCTGCAGCCCCCACCCTTCCACACACAGCAGAATGTTTTACTTATTCTGCCCACCTTCAACTTGGCCAGGCTTTTGGGAAGGACAAAGATGAATCAGCCAGAGGTGACACTTATCCCCATAAAAGTCTATCATTTCAGAGCAGCGCGGGACGTTTTACTGCACACTGTCTGCCTCTAATAATGCGGCTTATAATTGTGAGTGGGACCATTCGATGTATGGGATTTCACTACCGCACACTTAGAGACAACTTCTGTTTCAGTAATTGAGGAAGACTTGCATGGTATTTCCTAGCCCACTATGAAATAATAGGGTTTTCTAATCATCGGTGTGGAAGTTAATAATTAAGTGTTTTCCAAGGCACAATAAGCAGAAGAAGCAGACTTCCAACTTCATCTGTAATGCTAATAACTAGTTTAGAAGTTATTATAATAAAGATTACAGTGAAATTAAACTGCCATTTAGAGGGCAGGTAAGTTGAGATTGAATATGATAGTTTTCACTTGGAATATGTTTGCTAAAATGAACCTTACTATCTTAATTAAATTAAACTTAAATTGAACTGTACTGGTTTCAAGGACATCCCCTTTGCATGTTTATTATTTTCTCTAAAGAGAGACTGAACATCAACCAAGCGCCAGGCATTTTGCTATAAAGGATGGGATGAGGACACCTGTCCCAGGCCTTCAGGACACAGGCTGCCAGCTCTGGCTATGACGGGGGAGAAGAAGAAACAGGCTGAATGGAGATGTCTGCTTTGTGGTCCCAGGGACAGCAGAAACTGGGAGCAGGTTCTGAAGAGGGCAGCGTTGGAACTAAACCCTGAGAGCTGAGCCAGCTTCAGCAAGGCAAAAAACAAAACAAGGGTGCTGTGGGTAGAGGGACAAGTAGAGGCCGCTGAAGCAGCAGTGTACCAGGCAGGTGGGGCAGTGGGAACCATGTCTGTCTGAGGAGACTGCTCCCGATCCTAGGAGACCAATGATATAGGCGGAGGGTCTTTCTTTCAGGACAGGGGGTGGAGGAAGAGGAGGAAGCAAAAATGGAAGGGTAATTGGAGGACTCCCCTCCATGCTCAGGGTCCGTGGTCAGCCCTCCATGGACCAGGCCCTGCCCCGCATCTTTGAAACACAGCATCAGAAGGACTCGCAGGCTGAGAACAATCCTTGGTATGGACTGGGGCCCAGACTTCCCATCCTGGAAAGTTCCCTCCAGATCCTTCAGTCAACTACATTTAGCCTTCCCAGCATGGCTCTGATCCGGTGGTGGGCTCTTCCCAGCTCCTGGACTTCCAGATGCAGGTCCACCTGATGTGGCTTCTTCCCCCATCTCCAGGTATCCAGGATCATTTGTTCCCATGCTAATGATGGGGGGGGTGCCGCATGGCACTATGGACTCAGACTTTTGTCCTCTGACTGTTCCTATAAAACCGACAGTCTGAGCCACAGGCTCCTCTTATTCATCAGGTCTCACAGTCTGTGCTAGCATCAGGAACAGATCACCTATGCAAATTTCCTGGGGTCACAGACATTTTCTGTGACCCTAGTCTAGATTTAGGATCAAAGGTGAACATAAAGCCTGCTTCTGCCAGTCAGGAGCTACATGTACTTCAAAAAATTGCTTAATCATTTGGAGGTTTGGTTTTCTCTTCCATAAAGTGTGAGTAATAAAATCTACTTCAGAAGGCTGAGGTGAGGGCTGATCTATAGGTAAATTGCTTGGCAGCTGGGAAAGAGAAGCTGTGTAAAATGTTACGTATCCTTTCCTGTGTGTCACTTGCATTGCTTTGAATTGCACCTGGCACACAGTAAGTGCTCATTTAAAACTTGCTAGGTAGCAAGTGCCTTTGTAGGTGTGGATATGGTGGGGAGACCTCGGGGTTCCAGGTCCTGAAACATCATAGTGCCTGTTCTCTGCTTGCTGTGCTAAAAGGAAAACAAAAAACAAAAACTCACCTTTTGACCTTCCAGGTCCCTGACCTTCAGCAAGAATTATTGTCTTAGTCACTTTCTTGTCACTGGGACACTATACGCAACACTCACAACCTCAAGGAGGAGAGGTTTATTTTGGCTCATTTTGTGGAGGTTTCAGTCCATAGCCGGCTGGCTCCAAGACAAGAGGGTCACAGAAGAAGGAGCTGTGCGCACAGTGTGGTGACAGGGAAGCTGAGGGCATCAAGAGAGGAGCCGGAAGTAACAAGGGGTTTCCACGGAAATACAGGTCAGGCTTCAGGAGGGAAAACAATAGATCTGAGTATAAATATTGGGCCAATTTTCACACCTGACATGCTGCACACTTCCTTGTTGGGAAAATCACTGCCCAAACCATGTAGAGAAACTGTAGGGTCTGAAAACCCTTGCCTGGGGCTGAAGTGTGCGTGTGATTTAAGGGTTCTCACTTTAATCGCTTGACTCAGTGTGCCAAGGGCTTTCATAGCACAATTTTGTGCACAGTTCCCCTCTATCTCAATGGACCCTTCATTCTGGTGCATTCATGGAGTTTCTACTTGTGATTTTAGAACGTGGCTCACAGCAGCACCTCCCCAGTGACGGCCTCAACTGTCTGAGGCCACGTCGATTGCTCTTTCCTATGTGTTCCCGTGGTGTTCTTCCATTCCTGTAGCTTGGGAACTAGACTGTTGGCTGGATCAGTGGGATACAGCGGGTTTCTTCTTATTCGCTGTAACTATATTCCACAAAGTGGCCATGGACACTGAATTAGAAAATACTGAAACACAGCTTGTCAGGGAAATACAGGGTTAGGTGCCCATAAGCCTTTGGTCGCTTTTTCATCAACTAGTCGATACAGGGCCTGGTTTCATGTAAGACTCTACTGAAAGACATCTTATTTGACATATATTGTTGATCGCTAACATTGAGCTATCATCAACACCTTCAATTTGGCCTGACTGAAGCTTTTTTCTTTAAAGAATAACACTCTCTTTTATTTACGTATGACATTTCAGCATTATGCGCCAAGGCCTATTCAACAGTGAAATAGCCATCAAAAAGAACAGAAATGAGCTGGGGCAGGGATAGTGTGGCACTGTGGGAGGCTGAAGTAGGAGAATCATGAGTTTGAGCTTAGCCTGGCCAATTTAGTCAATTAGTATGATCTTGTTTTAAAAAATTGATATTTTTAAAAATGGAAAAGGGCTAGCATTGTAGCTCAGTATGAAAGCCCTAGTTTCCACCTCTAGTTAAGAAAAATGCAAAAGTGAGAAAAAACACAGCACTAACAAGATTGGGAAAGGACATGGTATGAGAGCCAAAAGAAGGAAGAATATCATTCCACCTCAGCTGGTAACATGCGCACTGCGATGACTTAAATCTTAAGTTTTTCATTGTCAATACACACAAGTAAAAGACCACAGAGGCGCTGAGTATATTGACTTAGGGGTTACAGATAAATTTGAGCAAGTAGGTGAATCCACAAATATGGAATTCTCAAATAATGAATCTCAGCTGCAGTGATCTTCATACTCCCCAGCCCTTCAGAAAGCACTGTATGCATAAAAACTTTACATTCGGTAAGTATCAGCCGAATAAGTGAGCCACTCAATCCAGACCTGCTTTCTTTAGATGTTTACCAAGAATTTAAAACTTACATTAATAAAGCAGGAGGAGTGTTGTTGGTTCTCCCATGGGAGCGTCAAAGTCTTGGTTTTGTTCTATCAGTTATTTATATGAGAGCCCTCAACTCCAGTGGAAGGAATGCTGTGTGTGAAACAGACCCCTCACATGTGACACATTTGGATCACACAGCTGTTGGCTTCCACAACAGGGAAGAGATTACACACAGCACCACTCCCCAATCTTCTACAAAAAAAAGGGAAGAGGGGACAATAAATTCCCAGGGAAAATAGAGCCAAACAATGGCCAATGATGAAAAAAAAGAACAAAGCCAAGGAACCAATAGGGAGTCTGGTGATAGGATGTACTCAGGGAAGGAGAATGCAGTCTAGAGGCACGGATGGCAAGGGGACCTGCAGGATCTTTGCAGTGACCAACATTGAGCCTCCCTGAGGCAGGAGATTGGGGCATGGTAAACTTGGCTGGGGAGTGGGTATGACCTGTTACTCACAAAGGTCCAGGACACATGTGCAGAAGAGTCCCAAAAGCTCTGCATCTGGAACCGACAGAGAGTGAGATCTTCAGTTCTTCTGGAGAGAACTGGAGCAGGATTCTGATAGGCTGGTTTAGACCTGATGTCATCCTGAGGAGTGAGAGATACAAAAGATGGCAGCCATCCAGCCAGCGGCCGCTGTTAACTCTTTCAGGGTCCCACCCCGTTTTCTTGCAGGGTATATTTCTTTCACTTTTAGTTGGCCCCAAATCACTTTGCAGAGAATGTTTCTTTTAGTTTCACAGCTTCAGTAAGTGTAAAACCCTGCTGTGTTTTGCACTTGCCTCCACCAATTCTCTGTCCAGGACAAAAACAGAAAGCATTTCTAGGAGGAGTCCCCGGCACCCCAGAACCTAGTAATACCCCCACCTTTCAGAGGTATGACCTTGGGCTGTTTTCTTGGCTTCTTGTTCCTTGTTCCTTACACGTAGAAAATGGTGATTATAGGGCTCAGTACAGGGGTTACTTGGGCCACTGGCATTTACGGAATGAATACCTACTGTGTGCCAGAACGAAGCACGCATGTGCAGATAAAGAGTGGGTACGAGCACAGCTCCTGATGTAACCCAACTCCCAAATTTAAAGTGATTTTTTTTTCACTCATATGTCTATTTCTATTCCTATTCCCTCTTTTTCCGATTTGCAAAGTTTTCATATATGACTTTTCTAAGCTGAGATCCTCTCATACTTTTCCATAGGACAGTAGATCACTCTTTGGCTGACCAGGTATCTCCGAACGTTGCTGATCTGGTCAATTTTTAGTGCCTTGGACACCTGAGTCATCCCCCTGGAGACTCAGTCTCACCACCCACAAACTCTCAGTTTCCCAAATCACCACCACCTATAAAGTAATGATACATTGATGGGAGTCTTTCAGAAAAAGCTTAGCACATCTCCCAGGCATAGCCTAGTCATCTAAGCAGCATCACAAACAGGTAACAAGTAACCGCCTACGACCATACTCATTTTATAGATAGAAATTAAAGTCTGACATAACTTGTTCAAGTCGTTCACTGAGTCACAGCCACAGCCAAGAGAATAAAATAAAAGTGTTGCCATTCATAGCTGAGGAGACTTTGAGCTCCTTTGACTTGGGCAACCACATCTTCCTTTTCTTTGCAGATGGATTTTTTTTTCGGTACCAGGGTTTGAACTCAAGACCTTGTGCTTGCCAGGCAAGTGTGGCACCACTGAACTACATCCCCAACCCCAACACATGGATTGTTTTTTTTGGTTTTCGGGAAATATATTAATAAGCAAGTAGGCAGATTTGATTCAGAGATAGACCAAGATTTCTCTCTTGCTATCAGAGATTTTGCCAAATTTATGCATTAAAAAAGTATAATTTCAGTATGAAGACAATGCTAACATTTTCATGAAAACAAGTGGTTGACACTATAGAGCTTCATCGTGGACCATGCCACCAGTGAAGAGAAACAGCGACGCTCAACAACAAGGCCTCATGCCGAGGTCTGACAGGAGACTTTATTCAGGAGAGCAGATCAGAGAGAGAGAGAGAGAGAGAGAGAGAGAGAGAGAACAAAGAAGGGATGGTCCTTTTATTGGTTAGGGGCTCGGCTATTGCTTATCTGCGGGAGAGCAGGTTACATGTAGCCTTTTAAGGAATGAGCCTTGCAGAAGCTAAGTTTCAATTCTGTGCACCTTCTCGGCCTTGGGAAAAGGAAATTTAAGATAATGATTGGAGGATTGAAGAACCCAGAGGCGTGGCCCATAATGGCAGCATCAGGTCCCTAACAACTAGTAGATGCATGTTTTATGTTTACCTGTCTGTAAGTATGCATGACAGTCACATAGCTGACTATTTGAGAAGTTTTCCACTCACTGTGTTTGCCTTTTGTCTTGGTTACTTTTCTCACTGTGGGGACAAAATACTTGACAGCCAAAGTTAAAGGAGAAAACGTTCATTTCAGCTCACAGTTCGTAGTCCATAGTCAGCTGGTTCCAAGGCAGGACAGCATGGCAGAGGGGAAATGGGCCATGGCATGGCAGTCAGGAAGCGGCCAGCAGCAAGACTCCCTTTCCCTTTTTATTCCATTCACCTACAAGCCTATTGATTGATGCTGCCCACACCCAGCCTGAGCCTTCCATTATCCACACCCAGAACTAAACCAATTTAGTGATCACATACCTCAGTCCCAGTATCACACACCCATGATCTAGCCACCTCCAAAAAGCCACACCTGTGAACGCACAAGGCTTTGGGGGGACATCTAGATACAAGCCATAGCTCCTTTTAACCCTTTAGCCACTTGAGAAAGGTCTTAGGGTAGTGGTACTTTCGGGGGACTTGATAAAATTAGAAATTCACACTGAGCACAACATGTATATCTTCCCTTCAGCCACTGTCCAGGTCAAATTCCTTACGAGCTCTCAGTTCAGTTACTGTAACAGCTTCCTGATCAGTCACCCAAGTCAGTGATCCAAGTCACTGTTCACCCTGCAAATGCACAAGTGCTCCTGGAAGGCACATGTGAACGTGGAGGTGCCCGCATTCAAAGCTTCAGTGACTCCCTCGTCACACTAGGACCACGTCTTATGCACTCTGAAAGTTCATATTAATCTTTCTAACTCGCCCTAACTTATTGTTCCTGCTGCATCTCTGTCCAGTTTGTTTGTTGTTTTTTTATACCAGGGATTGAACTCTGGACCTTGCACTTATGAAGCAGGCGGCAGCACCACTAAGCTAAATCCCTAGCCCCTCTGTCCAATCTAAAATTCAAACCATTATATCATTTCCATCTGCCTTTGTACCTTCTGGTTCTTCTCCCAAAATGTCCTCCTTTCCATTACCAAATGAATACATGCAAGTTATCTTCAGGCTGCCAAAATACCTCCTAGTAACAAAGTCTTTCTTGAATTCTCATCCCTAGCCCACCTCACAAGTGTTTTAATTCTGACCATCACTTCCTGATGGCCTGGAAAACACACACACACACACACACACACACACACACACACACACACACAGGCTGTGTTCCCAATGCTCAACATGAAGTGTACATATCCACAATTCATCCTAGCAGGCCCATGTTCCTCAAGAGGGAGAAATTAGAACATTTTTTTTCACTTTTTTTTTCCTGGAAAAGTAAAGTATAAGCAAGTCTGGAAGAATGGTGCAGGAACTCTTTAGCAGAAAGGGGCATATTTTTGTGACTAAAATAACCCTCCCACAGTGTTGTGTGCTCTTGTAATAAAATGCACACTGGTGGTAATCAAACCCAACAAAGAATTCTGTTTCTGATGTTGAAGCACTTTCTTTTCTTATATGTCAACACCTCTACATTTTCTTTGTTTTAATTATACTAAGCATCCTTTTGTTCTTTTTTGGGACATTTGCCTGGGAGGCTTGGGCAGGCTATAAATCATAATTATCATCATTAAAAGAAATATCGTTTGTGCAGTCTATTTTTAGAGTGGATGACTGGCCTGTAAACATACCCACTGTGACACTGGCATCGTGGCAGTGGTTCTTGAGCAGTCTCGGGCTCTCAAATATTTCATCTGTCTCATTAGTGTCGCTCACACGGGGCGACTGCTAAGACAGCAGCTGCTTCCCCTGCTCAACCCGGTCAAACGGCATCCCATCTGTTAATGGGAGAAGAAACGGATGATTTTAGAAAATCTGGTGGTTTTCATGTTTTTATACATAAATTCAGTGTTCTTATTTACATTTCAACTATATCTAGGCTTCAGTGAATCTAGTGTGTGTGTGTGTGTGTGTGTGTGTGTGTATGTGTGTGTGTTTTCTAGAAAGGTAAGGGATATTTCCGTTTATTGCACAGATTTAAGCATTTCAAGGCCTTAAAAGAATCTCAGAGCAGAAGGAGCCTTTGAAATATTGTCATTCAATTTCTATATTTGATGGATAGAAAAGCTGGGGCCAAGGGGGGCGGGGATGATTTCCTCAAAACATAAGGCAAGTAAGCAGCACAGCTAGGCTATAAAACATGATATTCTGGTTTCTGTCTACTGTTTTTTGCTCTTCAGCAACACTGAGCAAATATTCACCCATCTCTGATTTAAAGGTTTCCAGCTTGTTGTAAATCTAGCGCATTAGTTTCCCCTCTTCCTCGGTTTCTTGAGTATCCCCAAATTACACAAGGACCTGCACTGAGTCTTGTCTCCCAAAGGGATGAGTGTATGTGGTGAAAGAATCAGGCCCCTTCTGGGGACAGGAACCTGAAACTGCTGGTCTACACGGTGGGCAGAGCGACCTGATCTTCTGACAACCTGGGTCCTCAGGATGGCTCTGCTTTGTTGATTTGATTTCAGCAAACTTTCTTGTTGTATGATTTCAGCAAACTTCCCCTGACACCATGTCTTCAGTTGACCATGGATCGTAGACACCTCTTCTGCCTCTTTACAGGAAGGCTGGGAGAATCAGTTAAAGTGACAGTCATGAAAAGCTACATAAAAAATCTTTATATTATATAGCAGCAGAAACAGCAAAGTGCTTTCCCTTTGTTTACTGTTGATGTGCCATGCATAATAATTTATGTTAATTTTCTGTAGGTGATGAGGCATATTTTAGCCTTTATTTTTTTTCTCACCAAAATATCACTGATGTTTGAAACAAAGGATCCATAAGGGGGAAAAAATGGGGAAGGAGTGAGGATTACTAACAAATGTGCTAAGATGTTGATTTACTGAGGACATTAATAGTTCTATTTGACTGAAGTGATGGGAGATGAGAACGTGAATTTAAACAGTGATCGTTTCAGAGAAATGCTTTTGGTTTTTTTGGTTTTTGTTGTTTTGGGGTTTTGTTTCTTTGAGACAGGGTCTCACTATGTAGTTCAGGCTGGCTTTGAACTCACTATGTAGCCCGAGCTGACATTGAACTTGCAGCGATCCTGCCTCAGCCTGCAGAGTGCTGGGATTATAGGTGTATGCCACCATGCCTGGCCTACAGGGAAATTTTCTGCTCTATTCCAAGGGGCTATCCTAGTTGCTGAAAGTAATGGGGAATTTTTCAGTAACTAAGCACTGATTTCAGCCTGTGTCCCTTTCATCTATTTCTATTTTTGGTTCCACTCTGACAGGCTGATAATTTAATTCACACCAAAGAGTAGTGACTGAGAGGTGCTTACCACATCCTAAAGAACATGTGGACATAGATGACTAGAAAATACATCCCTGTTGCTATTACCCAGAATATTATCATTCTGCAACTTGTGCTTCACTGTTTAAAATTAAATAATAGAACGCTAACAGTCAACTGAAAATTCTAATGTTCCGGGCTGTTTCTAGAAATTCACAATGCTAATGCTCTGTTCTCTCATTTCCCTTCCTTCTGTGTAGGATCGCATGACTGGCTCTGACTGATGACCTTGTGAGCCGGAAAACTTAATTCCCAGCAACTCCTGTCCTTCCTATGGCAGTGTGGAGCTGTTAGGACAGCATAACTTCACCTCATTCAGCTGACACAACTATCTTGATTCCTATTCCTCCTCATCTAGAGACAACTACAGTCATGCAGTTGTAGCCATCTTTCCATGCCACTGTGTGGAAAATGCACCTGCACTCTCTAAACATGTCTCAAATAAGTAAGTACATGTAATGTGTGGTGTTCTATTGTATGGTTTTAAGGTTTACATAAATGGTGTCATGTAGCATTCTCCTTCTGTTTCTGTACCTGCTAGGGTCGAACTTTAGAACTACCCATAACGATAACTATATAAGTCTGTAGACTGTGTACCTGTATTGTTTTACCAGATATGAGCAAATGTTCTCTTCTAAACGGCCTTACTGTTTCAAGGCTCAATACATCAGTGTCCCAATATTTCAACATATTTTCCAATCTTTCTGTTGTCAAGCTTTCTGGTATCCTTTGACTTGTGAACTGTAACTTTATTGTTTTTGTTGACCGTTTCTTGATTACTGATGAGACCATTCTGAACCATTTTCTGCTACTATAATAATACTCCTAGACTGAGTAATGCATAAAGAAAGGAAGTTTATTTGGCACATGGTTCTTGAGGCTGGGAAGTCCAAGAGTATAGCTCTGGTGTGAGGTAAAGGCTTTTGTGCCACATTAACTCCCCATGAACAGAGAAAGGGCAGGAAAGGACCAAACTCACTTTTGGAACAATCCATTCTCATGTTAATGAATCCACACCTGAACCAAGGACGTTAACCCATTCAGGAGGGCAGAACCTTTTGACCTAATAATCCCTTGATTTCCTACCTTTTGTGTGGAGGGTTGAGCTTCCAGCTTGTGAAGTTTGGAAGACACATTCCAGTGGCATAGTCTGAGCATCTTTTCGTGTTTATTTACTTTTAAAATTTGTCTTCTGTGAAACATGTGCCTATCTTTTATAGTCATATCTCTTTTTGATACATAATTCATAATTCAATAGTCTCCTATAATCTGTAGCTTGTCTTCTAATTTTATTTACAGGACCTTTCATCATATATAAGGGAATTTTGATGAAGCTAACTTATACTTTTATAATTTTTACTTTTTATATTTTTTTCTCTAAGAAAGTACTTTTGACCCCCAAATTTTGAAGACATATTTTTCAATATTTTCTTCTAATAATGTTAATTTTTATTTTCACCTTGATACATATGAGATAGACCTAGAGAAACTGTGAAAGAAAAGGACCTGCTTATTTTCCTGTAGGAAAAGCCATTGTTCCCAGCACCAGTCTTCCCATTTTGTTTTCTAATAAAGGACACCGATTTAACTCACCTCTCTGCCTGCTGTTTCTGCTTCCTGTGAGCCGTAGTTAACGGCATCTGCCTGTGTCTCTGGCTTTGGGGTCCTGAGACCTCCATTCTCTGATGGATCTAAGAAGTGTTGGTGATTTTTACTTTATTCAGCTTTTCTTTACTGTAAAGATGAGAGAGGAAACTTCCAAGATCTTACATGTTTAACTAGAAATAAAATTCTCTGGCTTTAAGAATTGTTGAAATATTTTTTCATTTTAGTTTTACTTGCATTTCCCTCAAAGAATACATTCTGGTTTGTTTCCTAATATAGAAATAGATCTTATATACTTATTTTTTTCAGCTTTAATTGAGTTTATTGGTACATTTTAGGGATACAGTACAGTTACATTCATTGTTGGGATCTTGTACCTCTACATGACAAGTCTTGGTTCTCATTTTTTCCCCTTGTCCCTGCCCTCCCTTCACCCGATCTTATATACTTATAATGGGCTCCATATTTGGAGGGTTTTTTTTAAAAGCTTATATTTGTAGAATTTATTTTCCTTTTTTGCATAGGAGCCTTCTTACCTTGGGGTTTCTATTTACCCTTCTATGTCTGCAAACATTTTGAAATACTTATTTCAGAGCCATAAAAACTCATGCTATCATCCTCAGGATTATCTGCTGCTCCTCTTGATTGTACTTCCTGGCTGTTCATTTCCATACATGGTTTATAATCTGGGCCATGTGCTGTTTGTCAGTGGGGACATTTTCCATTAGAGACCCATGTGACTTGCTTTGAGTGACAGTTTCTCATCTGGGCCTTCTGGGACGTTATGAGTTTAAGCGTACTTGGAAAATATTTGTGTTAATTTATTTCTCTGGAGTCCTGAGCTATTCAGATGCCTTAAACTTGCGTCCCTTCCTGCTTTCTGATTTCTTGCAGGTGGCTGTCTTTATCCTGGCCGGGAAAGAATAGGAGGCTTCCTTGCAGCTCTCTTGGGTTATGTTGGCATATTTTTGTACAAATGGTGAAGCTAGTCAGTACAGAATCAACTCAGGCCACTGGGCTGCAGCTGCCAGCCCCTCGGGGGTGCTGGGTAGATTTCTCTCTGTGTGTGGCATCAGTCCTTAGCCCCAGTTGTTATGGTCTGTAAAAGGATCCAATTCCCCTGAACGCTTTTCAGCTTTCAGTCTCACTTTCCAGTTTTACGATTCCCCCACTCAGTGTAGAGTTTTTCTTTCTTAATCTAAAGTTTGGCTACAAATTTACGGTTGCTACTTGATTCTCCATTTTCCAGTGTCTCTGCGGTAAGGAGAGTTTTCCTGACAGGAACTCAGTTTGCCTTGCTTGGTAGAAGTCAGAAGGGCACACATGTTCTGAAAGGTGCATTAAGAAACTTTCTCCTGGGCTGGGGATTTGGCTCAGTGGTTCTGCTGCCTGCCTTGCAAGCACAAGGGCCCAATTTCGATCCCAAGTATCCAAAAAAAAAAGAAAGAAAGAAAGAAAGAAAGAAAGATTCCCCTATGTCACACCAGGCACTCTTGGTGCGCAGGAAAGCACCAGGCCAAAGCTGGCTTGGTTGTGATTCTCAGATTATCCCACATTAGCAAAGGGTCAGCCCTGCCTGTTACACAGGTAACCCCCCCATGACATCTTCCTTTTCCCTCTGAAGTCACTGAAGGCTCTGCCTGCAGCTCTGTGCAGCTCATGCCTGGTCTGTGCCGCCTGTAGTGTGTTTGCTTGGCCCCCGTGGGAGGTCCTCTGCACATCCCTGCAGGAGGATACCATGCTCCCCTTGGGACTGTGAGCATAGTCATTGTCCTGGATGTTCATGCCTTTAGAACCGATGTCCTCTTTTTTCCAATCTGGGTCAGTTTCTGGGCTTACTGACTCTAGCTACAATCTGTAGTTGAAGTGAAAGATAGCTAAAGATAACAAAAGACTTTTTTGTTTGTTTGTTTCAGAATTCATGAACTTAAAAATATTTACCACTATGGTTTGATGACTTCAGGCTCCTATGGCTGTATGTCACATGATTCACATTTAGAAATTTTGTTTAAAAGAAGTTTTTGTCACTTAGGTTCCAAAGTAATAAATATAGCGCTATTTATGTTCACTGGTCTCTAATGTGAGTTCTTTCATTTTATTTTCCAATGGGGGAGCTTTTTCAAATGATGTATTTTAGAGGCTAAAGAGAAGGAATTATGATTGGCTTCTTTGTGGCTATTACCATCCATAAGAGAAAATTCAGTTAGTCTGCAATTTTCAGACATGTGGAATGATTACTCTGTTAATGCCTATTCAATTCATTTCCTATTTGGGGCACTGAAAATTCAAGTGTGGTTGCATAAATGACTGGATAAAGCTTAAATTGCAATGTAGCAGCATCACTCCATCTGCAGAATTTCTTGAATTTGCAAGCAGTGAATGTGGACTCTAAGAACTGTAGCCTTTTTCCCCTAGAGCTGCACACTTATCCCAAATGAGGCTTGAGGTTAAAAAAAAAAAAAAAATCACTACTATTGCAAAAAATACATTAAGAGATCATCTGTGCATAGATTTTTATAAGGGAAAAATTAACTTTGATTAGGGATGACAGATACATTTCTTGATGTTATTAAAGAAGACAATGGATAATCACATTACTCAGAGGATACAGACACCTGAACTACTAAATAATTGACAGAAAGAACAAGAAGATTTGAGTTCTACATAGGGCAAAGGATGTCTTGGATAAAAGCACATGGAATGGGGATACAAAGACTTAGTTTTCTTCCTGGCTCTGATAGTACTCAGATGAGAGAACTTGGAAATCTCCCAGTCTCTCTGGGCTTCATGGTTCTCATGTAAAGTTAGATAGGATGGGTGGGAAATGTTTGCTCTGCCATTACTTGGGAAGTAGAAGTTAATAAAGATGTGTTATCAGATATGGCTTCCAGGAGGAAGTGCTGAAAGATTCATTGGGAGTAAAGACTGTATATGAACCAGCAGAAAGAGTATCCGGGTTGAAGGAAGGTATTCAGGAAACCCGTGAGGGACAGTTGTCAAATTATGGACAAGGTACTATGCCAAAGGGAAAAGAAGATTCTAGAAACCAATAAGAGTAGCAATGCAAAGTCCCCTGTGGCCATGGAGGATAGCAGTAAGACCAGAGGTGGTCACTATAGAGAGCTCAACTAGATCAAAGGGAGCCTGTGCTCCATGGCGTGCTCCTTGACTGGAGGACAGCAGAAATCCTCTGCATCTAGACGTGTTCCATCTCACTGTGTAACTTGAAAAGGTTTGTTGTAGTTTTCTGGCTCCTGGTCAACCATGTACTATGATATATTTGTATTCCAAGAACTTTATGAGGTTTCTTTTTAGTTATCTTTGATGTTGAGGAAGAATTTCCTGTTGGAGCTGCAAAATTCAGAGAGGGAATGCTTAGTGTGGCAGGGAGCCTGAACACAAAGAAATCCTAGCAGGCTGCTGTAGGGAGTGATTTCTACCCTGATCCAGCTCCTTCACTGCTAAGATCTTCATTTTGGAGGATGAAGGGAGGGAGGGGGAGAGAATGGGGGCAAGGTTGAGAAGAGCTGGCACAGAGAAGGGTTGGGTCATGGGGAATGCAGTTTGGAAATACAGAGTTGGTAGCTGCATGAACATCAAAGGGGTCAAATATATGTGGGAGGAGGTTGCAGCTGCCTGGGCTGGTTCAAAATGAGGGATAGAGCAAAGGGTTCTGGGACGGCTGGAATGGGAGAGCAGAGATGAGTGAGAACTCACAAGCAGAGGGAAGGGAAAGGCTAGTGGGCCTTCCCAAGGATGAGCGGAGAACTTGAAGTGGGAGAATTTGTCACAGAGAAGATGAGCATTCTACGTCTGCCCCCTACATCATTGGAGAGGCTGTAATAATTGCCTAAAACATTATTGTAAGGGCACAGATACAGCCCACTTGGCTCTGGTAATAGGAGCATTGGTCTGCATACTCAGAGTCAGAACAAGAGGCCACCAGGATCTAGGCCAGGGGTGTCCAGTCTTTTGGCTGGCCTGGACTGTACTAGTGAAGAGGATCTGTCTTTGGCCACATACAAAATATATAATATAGTTCGTGTGTGTATGGAACAAAGCTTCTTTTTTATGTTTTAACTTATTAAATAATTTTATGAAATAAGCCCCAGTTTAATAATTAAGTAAGGAAACTCACATGTCTGACTGATAACAATAAATGCCATCTCATACACAATAAATAACAATAAATGCACAGGCTCATACACATGCATGGAAGTTGAAATGCTACTGCGGGTAATAACTGGGTTTTACTCACTGAATCCTCGGAGGATGTATCACATCTGATGCGTGTGGGTTTCCATTCAACTGATTGCATATGGTGGGCACAGAAGGCAGAATCAGCACTGCGCTGTGCCCTCCCCTACACAGTGTTCCAGTGTTGTTAGATAGTCTGTACTTGCATCGTACACCTGAAAAATATTTTTAAAAACCATGTAATAATGTTAAAGTTAATTATCTTCCGGGGTCCTTGGCTGTAAGTTGGTCTAGCTGGGCTAGACCCACATTGAGGATCGAAGTAGTATATTTTGGTGCAGCCACTTTCGTAGGTCCCTTAGTTCTACAGGCATGAAAATCTGTGCCTTGATTCTAACACCAAACTTCAAACTTTTCCTACAGGTTAGGGAAAGGCTAATTATTAAAGAGAGATGAATATGAAGGATGGGTGGGAAATGTTTGTTCTGCCATTACTTGGGAAGGAAATCAACTTCAATTTCAATGGTTTTCAAAATAGCAGTTAAGGCGACCACACTGCTATACCCCAAAGTCTCAAGAATTGCTTCACAATGCTTAGGACAGTGTATCAGAGACCGTAGAGAGAATGAGCAGTTTTATAGGGGCACAGAACAGGGCAGGACTGGGAATAGAAGGATTTGAGTAGTTGCAGGCACAGTGTGATCTTTAATTGTGTTGTGTCAGCTTGAGTAAGAACTGCCTAGCCGACTAGAAACCTCTGAGTATGACTCTAGACAACTGACATGTAGGTCAACAAACTGAAGGGGAAGATCTGTCCTGGATGTAGGTGGCACCTACCAAAAGGCTTACAGCCTGGACAGAATAAAAATGGAAAGAAGCAATACACATTCCCCTTTCCTTGCAGAGCTCTGTTTTCTCCACGCTACAGTGAGCTTCTGAGACTTTGACCTCTCTGTGACTGGATCCTCCAGCTCTCCAGTGTGCAGACAGCCAGTTTGGATTCTTCACCTCTGGTCCCGCAGGCAGGCATTTTGTCTTTTCTACTTCTGATTCTGTAAGCCTACCTAATAAATCCCTGTGTGTAATTATTCATGGCTTTTATATTGACTGTGTTCCTCTGGAGAACCCTAATACACACAGTATTAGCCTGGGCCTTCTTATTTTAATATTTATTACACAGAAGTTTCATGGAAACTCATAATGAGGTAGGCATTATGACACCCACACCAGCATCTTTGCTATTGCCAGTTGATTCCAATTTGTGCACATGGTTGCTTCCTCTGCCCCACTGTTCGTGTGCACATGGGCATGGGGGCCTTTTGATGACGTTGCCTTCTGTTGTCCTTCTATTACAGTGCCAGACACACAACAGCTAGCAAGCACTGTAAGTTTCTTCAGCTGCTGATAATACTTGCTTACTAGCCAGATTTCTTCTCTCCCCCACAGACCCCTGCTGCTGAAACCCTACTCCACGCCAGCCTGAAGCTCGGTGCCTGGGAAGAGAGAAGCCTGAGAAGGAAACAAGGCTGGAGGCCTCTGGTCGCGTGTTCTGGAATTCATGAAAACGGCCCCAGTCAGGCTACTTCCTCAACTCCCAGCATTGATGAGCCTGCACAAAGGCCAGTTTTGTGTCCCTTGAAGGGAGTTCCTTCTTTTATTTCTGCTCCCTGGTTCTTATCTGATCCAGGGTCCCTGCCAGATGGGTGCTCCAGTTTCTTTTCATCTCCTCTCTCAGTTCTCATTCTCTGTGCCCAGTGAGGCTCAGCCTTGGATGCACAGAGCCCACGAACTCAGAGCAATGAAGGGAAGAAAGGCAGACGTCAGAAAGGCATTAAGACAGGTGGGAGGAGAGGGAGGCCCTAGCTTCAAGGAAAGGAGCAATTTTCTACTTACGAGGCTGTAGCACATTTTCAGAGAGAGACTAAATTTAGAGAAAATTATCCCTGCAAAGAGATTGGGTACATTAAAGGAATAAGTGAGGAATAATATTTGAAAGGAGGTTGGGACAGATCATGAAGTCAGTTAAATGTCAGGTGAAGTCATTTCTTGGAATAGTATCCCAGTTTCCTTTCTTCCTGCTCATCTTTCTCCTCACCACAACTTATTGAAAGGCTACTGTGGGAGGAGGCCCCAGAGTTAACTCATACAACAACTTGTGTCTGCATAGAAAGTGGTAATTATTTTTAAAGATTTGGGCCTGTTCTGAAATCTCTATGTGCTGATCACCCAGGATACAACAAAACACATGCAGCACACACACACACACACACACACACACACACACACACACACACAACACACACTACCACCAAACACTTTCACACATACCTCTATATACACACTAAAACAAAACCCACCAAAACCTAAATCTCAACCTGGTTTAGAGTTGATTCTGATCTTAAAACTTTAACAGTCTGAGGAATTATTCAGTGGCCATTACTGAGGGGGAGGGGCTCCCCACTGGCCCTTTCCTTTTGCCAAGTGTAGGATGGAAAACCAATGTGGTCTTGGGAAGGCCACACCCCTGGCATTATTCTGGTCTTTGGTGTAGCACCAGGCCTTGTCCTTGGATAGTAGAGCTACATCTGCTGTCTGTGTGGCTGCCGGCACATCTCCTGACCTGCCTGTCGCAGCTGTCACTGATGGGCTTCATACTTTGGCTTCAGCAATGCTCCATCCCTCTCTGTAGAACCAGCCGTGGCTCTCCAACTCAGCAGACTCGCCAACTGCTGCCTTCCCCTAACAAGGCCCTACCCAGTGACCCTCTTTCAGCCCCTCCTGATATTTAATTTTTCCTATCATAAAGGGTCCCAGATCTGAAGCCATCCCAGGAACAGGGAGCAGCCTAAGGACATTCAACTGGGTGGAGTCGTCTTCTCCTCCCTCTGTGTCATAGGCTTCATTTTTTTCTAACTGCTGGGAATCCTAGGCATGGAAGAAGCTTCCTCTGCACTATGGTAGAAGAAAAAATCTATGAGTACATTTATGGAAATTTGTTTCTAGTATGCCAACACGAAAGAGAAATGCATTCACAAAATTTCTCTCAAGACGACAGTCTGTCTTAGGGGTTATTGTCCAGCTTTATACTTGTGTTCTTTTTGCATTTCTTCTGTCACAAACCTTTATTGCCATCCTGGTTCCTCTGTCTCTGTC